AAGACAAACTGTCAGACTGTATCGGCCTCTTTGGAAAAAGTTGCAAGTTTCACCAGCAAGCGCCACTTCAGTCCCCATCCTTTACATGCAGCAGAAAATGTGCTATTGTAGTGTTTTTGTCAAGTTTTTTTAGGTGTATCTACACAAACTGGGAACTTCAAGTTAATTCAGATGAGGTGTGGACATTCTTTCATCACTCACGGGTTACTGAGAGTACAAAATCCAGCTTCGATGTGGGGACTGAAATAGTCTCTTTGCCTGGTTTCAAACTTGTGTCAACTTTCCTGTTTCCAAAGAGACTCCAACTATGAAAATCTACAGTGGAGAAACAGCCCAAGTGCACTGATGTTAAAGGATAACGCAGGACTTGCACCATTTCTCCTTTCTAAGTGACCATACAACATACATGCAAGCTAGTACGGTAATGAACATGTTATCTGTGTGTTTGTGTGTATTCGTGTGCATCTAGATATGTAGATCTACTACACAGTGCGCTGTTCTCTTGTGGATGTCTCTGCTCGATTTGCACATTTCACCTAAATAACACATTAGGGAAAGTCTCTCATCAAAGCTCTGTCCCCACCGATCACAGAACCGAGTAGTAGATGTAGAAAATGTTCTAATGAAAGTGTACAAATTGTGTGTGGCCCATTGGCAGAGGGTCATTCATTCCAAGCATTGCAGTCGTAACATGTTCTAAACATTTGATAAGTAAAAGCGAGTTTAGATTACAGAGGAAATGAGTTATGCGTTTCAGTCAGTAACATGGGGTTAGTCGAAGGGGAGAGGGGGTAATAGCAAGCAGCACTGCACAAAGAATGCTGATGCAGGAAAAATATATAATTGAGGCACAAAATTGATGCTCTGTGACTAAAATATCTCCAAATTCTAAAAAATATTATATTATTTTCTGTAATTATTCCATTGTTAATGCACCGATGTTAAGAGTAGTGCACGTCTGAAGTTACAATTTCAGCTATGGGAAACTCGTTCCATTCACTTCATTAGCAGGAAGTATGTGGAAAAGGCGAGCCTCCATAACTTTCATAAATAAAACTTCTAAACTTCTTTTCTCATTTGACTTACTTGGTAGAAACTGACCTCCCTGTGTTTAGAAATATATTAACTTCTCGTCATTCTTAATTAAAAAAACAAAATGTCTTGAGGTTACTCATAAATATGTTGCTTCCTTTTTGTACTTTTCATAAATAACATCCAGATACTGACTTCTTTTCCTCTGCGTTCTACCAAATAATAACCCATGTTAGCAAAATAGATTTGAGAAACTGTCATATGTTTTTTTTTTTATTCATTTTAAGTTACTTTCTATAAATGTATGTGGAAGAACTCAAATATAGTCTACGTTGAAAATCGCAAATTCTTTCCAAAAAACAAACCAAAACGTAAAGCTCACTTGGAAACGTATAAAACGATAAGCGTACGGAGTGCATTGAGTGGTCTTTTTATTATTTTTTTACATTCAAATGCATTACTTGCTCAATGTGATTTAGACAGGTTGATACAATTGCTTAAGTGCATCCATTGAAAATAAGGATTTCCTATCACTCCTTAAAAGGGATTCTACATAAATGCATAAAGACCTTTTCATATCAAGAGAAGAAAAACATCAACATTTTCTACCATTACTATAATAGTAAGCTTAATACAATATTGTAAATAATACTAACAAGAACTTAACAAATCAAATGTCACTGCGTCACCCACCCCTTCGTTGCTCCACTGAATTAAAAAAGTATTTCATACTGGGTGAGTTAGACAAATGAAACTTACACCTTAGCATATTCTTAAACTTTATGTATCAATTAGTTAGACTACATGGTAAATATATGATTTGAAACCGATGTTTACTTTAAGGTCTTAAAGCTGTGTATACACTTCAGGTATCAGGCTGATGAATTATTTATGTGATCTTAACTTTGTTTCTGATAAATCTTACCTATTTTACTAACATGCAGTTAAACTTAAGGATACAGTTAAAGGGCTCTCCAAACGATATTCAATTGTGTTCACTCTCTCACCGTCGCCTTACTAAGGGTCTTAACAATTAGGAATCCAGCCTGAATTCTCAATGGCTTGTCATTGTCATAACAATTCCATTTGAAATATTAAATGATGTCCCATTTGATCTGAAATTCACCAGATCAGGCAAGTTTTCCAGAAAGATGTAGACATTCCCATGACTGTGCTTCTCCCACTAACCTAACCATGACAATGGAAAACTACTCACAGGACTTTTAAGTGCCAGGATGTGCTTTAAGCTGATCTCTTTGGGGAGAAGTGAGTCTGTTACGGGCGCCTCTGTAGTATTAAACTAATCTTACAACACTGAAACATGATATGCCTTCATTTCACTGATATCGATTAAGTTGGCCTCTAAGACGTTTGGGTAAACAGAGTTATTCTAGCTATGAGATTATTTCTTAATAATCCTGATTTGATAAAGTTTCTAAAATAAGTTAACGAATAACTTGTCCTCTCCTTGTGTTTTGTTCTTTGGCTATGTCTGACCTTTTTATAAAAGAAAAAAATACAAATGAAAGGTGCAAAACTAGTATAAAATAGAGCCATAAAAAAGAAACTCCTATGTAAACAGAAATCATTTTAAGATTGCTATAAGTAACACGTCTGCCCCTGTATGTGACTTTAGATAATGAGGGTAAAGAATACAAGCTCTTCACATGGACAACACGTCGTGATATCACGTTGTCTTACCCTCTCCTCACAGCTGCATTTTGACCAAAGCCTTCGAGACATCAGTCTGTCATACGCAAAGTCACCAGCTCCTGTTTTTTTAACAAACAAGACTGACGCTGGTGCTCATGCTCTGGTCTGGTTGTTTGAAAGATCACTTTTACAGCGCAGTGAGATTTCCTCGAAGTCACAGAAATGTCAGTTTCATCATCTCAGAAGGAGTTTGTCTCACCTGCCCTTTGTTTCAATTGACAATCAAATGACTTAAGACCCTGATAAACACAAAAAGAACAATTACTTATACTGAAACTTTTACTAATTATTAATAAGATCTCTGTTTCTACACTGGCATTTATCCATGACGAATTGTAAGCAGATATTATACAGAAACGTTATTCCCTAATAATCAAGGTCAATTTCTGGATAGAATATTATTTAAAGAACTGAGTAAGCAGGCTCTTCAGTTTATTGTCCCAGTATAGTCCTATTATTGCATTTCATCCTAATATACATAGAAGCGGATTTATTCATCAGGGGTCATTACACATACTATTTATTCCAGTTTTCATTTGAGATTTGATTTATACATCAGCGGCTTTATAAATGATATTCGTTATTACAGTTTATAGGAGTGTCTGGTTAATTTCCATCTATATATTTGGATGAAACACTAAGTTAATCAGTTTAAATAATATTTCTTAAATGTATGGATCCATCTAATATACTATTATACTCAAAAAGGATGATGGGACGCATATATAAAAGATTTGCCCTCCCTAAAATCAGAGACATATTGGAATTCTTTATGCTGAAACATTGACAATGACACCCTCAGCTTGTAAAAATAATCCAAACCTCACTTTTAGCAGGCCGTTGTCTGGATGTTCATAACTGGTACACATAATGTATTTACATAGAGTTCTTTCCCATAAAATACAATACTTATTAACTTATACAGCGTCTAAACAGGGAGAATCTCCAAAAAGCCCTCTCTTCACTAAACCAGTGCAAAACTCAACCAAGTCATCAGCATTGACTAAATGGATGAGAGCTCTCCCAAAGAGCCACTAGTACTACTGTAGTATTAAGAATAACAAGAACCACCATAATACAAAAAATGATAGGGAATCCTTATGTGCATGTCTTTCAAATCCTATGAAATGTATTTCACCATCAGTGGTCGGTTTGGTATTATTCAATGTTTTTGTGATCAGGTGCTTTACTCTATATTTTAAGTAAAGTGTTAAAGAGCCTAATTTCCTGAATCCCTCTAATCCCCACCCGAGCAGTTTCACATTCTTTTCTCTAAAAATAATTACTTTAAAAGTTGTTTTAGGGGAAGATACTATCAAAGGCCAAAGTTGCTACCTTGTATGCCAAAGCAATGGCAATCTTTTAATAAAAAATATTAAGGCAGAAATCAAAATAACAAAAATACTAAAGTTCAGAGGACAGTGTCATACTGCCTTGAATTTCACGCTGAAAGCTTCGGCCAAACCACTGTGCAATTTCTCCATCCATAAAAATCACAACTATTATTTCTACATCTGATAGATTTCAGAGTACTTTCAGAAAGTACGGTGCTTTCCCTGCAGGCCACACGTAACGCGAGGGGTCTGCTTTATATGTTTGTCTTCAAAAAAAGGAGGGGCCTATGTGTGGAAGACAAAATCTGTAATTGCCAATAATTTTGAGACAGAAGCCGAGTTGAATTGTTCTCCTGTACAACACAAGAGATGCTCCCTGTAATCAGCTCTGGCTCACAAGTGACAAACACTGAAAACTCGCAGCAGGACTCGAATGGTCAATAAAATGGCAAGATCTGCACAGTTAAACATTTTGGAGAGCATACTTCTCTCTTTCTTCAGCCAAAATGAATCCCCCCCCCCTATCATTCAACAGCTTTAA